GACTGGCGCGCCGTGGCCTGCGCGATGAGCTTCTGACGGCCGCGCGGGTGCGCCGCACCGTCACTGATGCTGGTGGTCGGCGTATCTACGTCAATGAGCGGCTCACTAGACATAACCGTCAGCTGTTCCACCGGGTCCGTGAGGAGTGTCGCAGGCTGGGCTGGAAGTTTTCCTGGACGAAACAGGGCCGCGTCTTCGCTCGCCGGGTGCAGGGGTCACCCGTCTTCCACTTCCGTTCCGAGGTTGACTTGGAGCGTGCATTCGGGCCTCTGACCTCGGCCCCACCGCCATTATTCGTCCCGCCGGGCCCTAACTCGCCGGCCTCAAATCCGCCGAGCCCCAACCCATCGGGCTCTAGCCCGCCGGGCCCAGTAGCACCGGGTCCCGCTCCGCTGCAGTCGTGCTCCAACCCGCCGGGTCCATACCGGCCTGACCCCGCTCCTCTGCAGTCGGCGTCGGCCACACCATTGTGACTCGTAGTAACCTGTTACATAGTATTTATTAGCTTTTATTGCTTTACAGTTTGTCTTCAGTTCCTTGAAGTATTACCTTTACTTTCAATTTTATTCTTATTTATTTTAAATTTATTTTTCAACCATTACCGCTTTGTTGAAGTTTTTTCAGCTTTCAGTTATTATTTCTATATTTTTTCGGATAGATTTTATATACTTCTGTGTTTAAGGGTAAATGAAAAACTGCTATTGCTTTCTTTTACTAATTTAATAATAAGAATTATATATGTTTCAAGCATTTTATATATTACATTCAATATTATTAAGTCTCTTTGCTCATGTATACATAATTCAAATAATTCAGTTACACATCAATTATTCCTATGTCAATATACATTTGTTGTACAAAGGGGTCAAATTAGGGTATTGTTTAATTCCAAAGAAAACACATTTATTTTATCTATGGGCACATGTGTACTGTTTTTCTATTATTTAAATGTAAATGGCCATTGCTAGGAATTTGCGAGTTGGTCTTTTTAATGCAGGATCCCTTAGTACAAAACATGAAGAATTCATAGTGGCAATGGAGGCTATGCAACCTGATATCATGGCTATCAACGAGACATGGCTGCGGTATGGTGAGGAGGATAATGCACCTAGACTTAAAAGTTTTCGGCTATGGCACACACCTCGGCCGGATTGCGTGCGGGGTGGGCGTGGTGGTGGAGTAGGTTTTTATTTACGAAAGGGTATCAATGTGCGCACCTGCCCTTACCCTGTAAAGCAGTCGGTTGAACAGATGTGGCTGAAAGTTCGCATTCACAACCTCTCTATAATCATAGGTACTGCCTATCGACCCCCATGGTTGGACATAGGTTTGTTCCTTGATGCAATCACTGATTCTATTACTTCTTTTGCTGGGCATGATGGGTTGGTACTGTTGGGAGATTTCAACATCAACCTTTTTGATAACAATAGTAATAAGGCAAAGATGTTGATACAGTTTCTCAATAGTGTGAACCTTGATCAGGTAGTAACTGAGGCAACTCACTTTACCGATCACAGTGAAACATTAATAGACATAATTTGTAGTGATATTAAGACAACCAAAGTAACAGTGAGACAAATTCCAGACCTTGGTAGGCATGCAATGTTGACTGCCGAATTTAAGATTAAAAAAGAAAAACCTTGTCCTAAATGGGTGCAGTATAGGCCTCTGAAGGACATAATCATAGAGCAACTACAGATGGATTTGTCCTCTATTGACTGGAGCTACTTTGAAGGAGATGTGAATAGTCTAGTTGATAGTTTCACAGCTTGTTTGTTAAATCTGTTTGATCTCCACGCCCCAGTCAACTCGCGTAAATTTAAACACCCTCCTCATCCTTGGATCACGGGTACAATAAAGTCTATGATGCGCATTAGGGATAATTACCATAACAACTTCAAAATGAATAAAACAGAGTCGCTTCATGCTTGCTACCTTACAATGAAGCGACTAGTGGTTGTGGCCATAGAAAATGAAAAAAAATGTTACTATGACTGCTACATTAATAGTAATTTGAGTAATTCTAAGAAATTATGGAATAATTTAAAAAGCACTGTGCTACCAAACACAAGGGACAGTAATGGTCTTCCTCAGTGGGTTGATAACCCAGATACTTTGAATGCATTCTTCCTAGATGCACCGGGAGACAACAGTATCCGCTTAAGTCAGCTCACTTTTTTGGAACATCACAGACATAGCTCTACCACTTTCTCATTGCAACCTGTTAATGAGGGCACAATTGCTGCAATTATAAGAAAACTCAAATCTAATGCTTTGGGTTCCGATGGTATTTCTCTTGAGATGTTGCAACTGACCATGCCATTTACTTTGCATGCCATAGCTCAGATTGTAAACAAATCTATCTCAGAGGGTATCTTTCCTGAGGCCTGGAAGGTTGCCATAATTAAGCCTCTGCCTAAGACTAGTTTGCCCTCCTCTTTGCATGACCTGCGTCCAATCAGTGTATTGCCATGTGCCTCCAAGATTTTGGAACGAGTGGTTTGTGACCAGTTCACAAAATACCTTGAGGACAACAGTATTCTCCCAGTTTCACAGTCTGGATTCCGTAAGGGACATAGCACGGCAACTGCACTGATGGATGTAATTGATGATCTTCTGACTGCTAAGGATCAGGGTTATGTTAGCGTTCTGGTTTTGTTGGACTTCTCCCGTGCCTTCGAAACATTAAATGCTTCACTTCTTCTGTCCAAGCTGTCTTATTATGGTGCTGATTCTAACACTGTTCGCTGGTTTAACAGTTATTTATCGGACAGGCATCAGTACGTGGAACTTCTGAGCCCCAGTGGAGTAAGGACACGGTCTGCTCTCCTCCCAGTCCAGCGAGGAGTTCCGCAGGGATCTATCCTTGGTCCAACTCTCTACATACTGTATAGTGCAGATATAGTAAAAAATATCAAACACTGCAAATACCATCTTTATGCTGATGATATACAGCTATATCTGTCTTTTCCACATCATGAATGGGCTAGTGCTGTATCTAAAATAAATGACGACTTGGCAGAGATAAGTACTTGGTGTAGGTTAAACTGTCTTGTTCTTAACCCAAAGAAGACAAAGTACATGTTGATAGGTTCCAAAAATAAAATTAAGAAGCTTGATAACATACAGTTAAATATCACACTAAATGGAGAACCTATACAACAGATTCATGAAGCCAAGAGTTTGGGACTCACTCTCGATTGCCACCTGAATTTTGAGAGCCATATAGCGAAGTGTGTTAGACCTTGTTTTTATAGACTCAAATTAATATATAAGATTAGGCCTTACCTGTGTGAAAAGTTGCGAGTCAGATTATGTGACACATTGGTTTTGTCTAGGCTCAATTATTGTGACACTGTTTATGGCCCCTGTTTAATGTCTAAGACTTCAAAACTTATACAGCGGGTGCAGAATGCTTGTGCGCGATTTTGTTTTCATGTCCCTCCACGTTCACATGTGACCCCTGTCCTGATAAATTCTAAAATTCTTAAAATGGAAGCACGTAGGAAACTTCACCTTTCAGTGTTACTCTTTGGAATTATCAAAACCAAATGCCCTAAATACCTATATGAGAAATTGATTTGGGCTAGAGATGTTAACAGGTATCCCAACAGATCATGCTCGTACGTTTTCGTGACACCAAAGCATCGTACTGCTGCATTCCGCGGATCCTTTAGGTTTGCAGCTTCACAGTGTTGGAACGTTCTCCTTCCTCCAGTGCGCGATCTAAAACATATTAACACTTTTAGAAAACATCTTAAAAAGCATCTATTAAATGAACAATCAATTATAGCGTAACTTCTAAGTAATATGTACCTTGATTTCTTTTGCGGAATAAAGACGGAGAGGAGCTGCTTCACAGCATTGATGCAAATTGTCCGTAGCATGATTTGGCCTTATACTTTTTGACACTAGTATGTCCTGTTTCTGAATAACAGTACATAACTTATGCTTATTGCTATATGCTTATGCTATCATGTATATTTTGAATTTAAATGATTTTTTAGGCTGAAATGAATTGCTTCGCTTTGTTTTGCATTGCTTTGCTTGCTGCTAAAATGTTGTTTTTGATTGATTTTTTATTTTAATTTTTGTTACTTGAAAGCAAAGGATGATAAGTCCAAACATCCTTTCAAGTAATAAAATTTATTTTTTTACATGTCGTGTTTTTTTGTGTCACTAAACAGGCCCTGCCAGAATAACAGCGCTGGTGCGACACAATGTCGCATCAGCTAATGCTGAGGCAGGGTCCTGGTTAGCCCTTAGGTTTTTTTATTTTTTTTTATTTGTATCTGTAATGTGTAATATCTGGGTTAATAAAATTATATTCTATTCTATTCTATTCTACAAGTTTTTGCACTTTTAATTCAATAAGTAAATACGCCGAAAACTTAAACACAGGTCCTCTTTAAGTTTTACTATAGATTCTCGATCATTGTTTTAGAACTGAAGGTAGAAAGAAGCGCAGCCGTTGCACCAACATCGTGTCATCGAACCGAAAAATGTTTGAAGAGAATACAAAATGAAAAAGAAGGTTGCATTTTGCAGTCATTGCACCTCATTAATTCGGGTTACTTGCAACTCAATACAATATCGCTCTGATGATCGATCATGCGTACTTGCTCAATCTTAAAATGTTGATCATTTATTTTTGGGTCGACATGCGAGTTTCTTCTTCGCGTCATTTGGTGTTATTTTGGTTCGAATTCAAAATGTTGATTTCAATGCACATTAACATAAAATTTCTTTGCACCTTTATTTTTTTGCATTAATATTTTGGTTTTTTACATTTTTTATCTCTTAACATTATCCCTAACTAAGCTAAATAAGTACAGATGAGGGTTACATTGCTGAACGATCGATGTACAGAAGATTCCTCCAAACAATTGCTGATAATGGTAAAAGATGTGTTTCTATGGGACGAATAGCCTTCATTTCTTCCAAATTATTGTAAGCGGTACGAAGTACACCGTTCAGCTAGTAAAAAGAAAAAAAACAAATGGTAATCAGTGCTTGTATTGTTACAATAGTTATCAAACTTAACAAAAGATAGAATTAGGTTTTCCTTATGCTAAATCTCGTCCCGGTCATCTATTTCCGCCGGCTCTTGGAAAACAACTCCTGTATCTGCAAATTGGACAACCCCTTAGTCTCGGGCACGACAAAGAAGCTAAGGATTGCATTGATGACGCCACTGGCTGCGAACAAGTAGAAGGTGCCGTGGATGCCGATGATTTGGTTCAACCATGTGAACATAGCCAGCACGAGGAAGTTCAAGAACCACACCCACTCGACGATGAAGCAGGAAGCGAAGGCTTGAACCTGCGAACAGAATATTTTTATCACATTACTAATCTAGCAGTAGTAGTAGTTATTCTTCTATGTTTCACTTGCAGCAATTTTGCTAAATCACAATCTTACTAAAAATTGCTTTAATTCATAGAAAAATGTCAAAACGTCAATGCTCGCTTAAGCTGGCCTAGAAAAGTAAAGGAATAACACAACAGTTGCGGTCTTTGGATGCATTAGTCTGACAAAACTCATCTATGGGGTTCTCAGCAGTGAGGACATTTCATCATCATCAGCCTATGACGGATGGGTGTGTAGATGTCGACGACTGCAGATGCAGCCAGGGTCAATGGCTTAACGAACCTTCCGAAGAATGGAGGAATGAAGGATAATAATTTTTTGGTCACCCATAAATGACCGACCATAGCAAAATTTCCACTAATCGCAGGTCGAACGCACTAACCACCTCCGCAATCAAGCTTCTCAAGAAGAATATAATGCTAAATATAATGATGATGATGATGAAATGCAACTAACCTCAGACGTGAATACTTCTGCCAGCAGAACGTACGGTATGGAACCCGCACCAGACATGAAACAGAAGCAGTACAACAGGATCATCGCGACGATCAACCACGAAGGACCGATGCGAGTCTGCAGCAGAATACCTAAGCTTGCCATGCACACTGCTACCATAACTGATGACGTTATTATCAAAACCTGAAAGAAAAAATAAGTTTTATGCAGACACTTCGTCAATTGAATTTTCTCAGGCAAAATAGGCACATAGTGCCGAGTTGCGAAAAACAGCCTGCCCTAATACTAAGACAGACTAGTCATTTGAATAATTATACAATCTGAATAAGTTTTATGTATGCCATTAATAATTTAAAAAGGAAATCTACCCGAATACGGGCGTACTCGATTCCGTTCATTTACACTTAGCCGTTTTGTATTCGTTCTAGCGACCAAGTGTAATCGAGCCATAAGTCAGTAAAAGGAAGACTGCTTTCCAGGTATATTTTTATCCATTATCCATACTGAGATCCATTTGATAGGTTTAGTATTCAGCCCCACCAAATAGCCCTCCTTGACAGCATCTACCCTTATTATTTTCCTTGCGAATCCCACACTTTATATTTTGCATAAATAAATTCAAAGATAGTATAAAAAAAACACTTATTAAAAAAGCTTATTACAAAGTGTCTGATTATATTACAGACAAAAATGGGTTTGAACTGTTCCGATCATTCCAACAGGTTTTCTATATTAAATAAATCATAGTTGTATTGACGTTGTAACAACATAATGATTTGTAAATGTTGTTACATTATGCTTTTAATGTTGTGGAGTTTTTTCGCTCGTTTTTCTCCGCAGCTAAAAAATATGTCCAATAACGAATGGTAGGGAAAAAAAATGTTTGGACTATTCAAAAGTGTTGTACTATACATCCAATTCGAATAAAGATATATTGATTGATTGATTTGACACAATCAGAATTCTGTGATTTTTCTGAAGCCTTTTGTACGTAACAGAAAATCTGCTCCATGAATTGGCTTTCTTTGAAGTGCACGCTCAGCAAAAGTTTATATCCAAAAGGGGACATATACCTATAGGCTTACGGTTATAATGAATTTTATCTTGGAGATACTAGCATCCAATATTGAGAGACAAAGTTTTGATGATAATAACGAAACTTGATGAGAAGTACAAGTTAAAGTATTTTTTGTAGTATTAAAGTAAAAGGAAAACTTCTTGAGCAACGACCATCAACAAGGAAACCTGCGCAGTAGCAATTTTATATACAAAAACGTCTACTGCTCTATTTATTTGTCTGTGGTTTTTCTGAAGAAGTTTGCCGCTACATATACTTTGTTTATTTTAAGTCCCCGATATTTCGTCACTGTTGCAGGTGCCATGAATCAATCCCAGTAATTACAAAAAATACTTTAATGTTAGCGACCATGACAGTTAAAACAAGTACAAAATAAATATTTGCACTCACCCGTCGTCCAGCTTTGTCGGCGATGGCGCCGGTGACGAAACTACCTCCCACGAGCACTATAGCGAAGAACACGGAGTACAAGTCAGCTTTACTGGGGTCGGCTTCTTTGAACACTTCCTTTGCGTAAACTTGCACTGGAACTATGCCCATGAACACCTAAAACAGAGATACGGTTCGATACTCAACATCACGTAACATTTAGTAGTCGACTACACTGGAGCAAACATTTAAATCGTTAAATGAGTTTGGTGCGATCAAACTATGGTAAGGGCGTATCTAACGATTTAAATCTTTGCACTGGAGGCAAATAAAAGCATAGAATAATATCAGCGGTAACATTAGGAAGAGTCTATTATCGGATGGCTTTCTTTCTTTTAAAACGGATATATACTGTACTCTCTGAGTCCAAGAATAGAAACTTCACAATCTTGTTGGTTGCAACTTGACCTTTTTTTTTTGTTGAAAAGGTTTCTCTGATCCACATTATCTATACATATAATAAAATGGTAAGAAACTCAAAACTGTACATTGAATATTTTTTTAAAAGAATACTTTGGGTGTGATCTCCAATTGATACCGAAGCCAAAAATATAGTTTTTAGATTTTTTTGTCTGTTTGTCTGTATGTATGTCCGGGATAAACTCAAAAAGTAGTGCATGGATTTACTTCAAATTTGGCACGAATACTATTAAGAAGTCGGGTTAACATATAGACTACATATTATCACGCTATCACCTATGGAGAACTAGCAGTGAACCTTTATTTCTTCAACGCATTCTGTAACAACGTGTAATCTAACGACGCATATTTGAATGTTGTTATTATGTTAATAACCATGCCATAAGCTAGCTTCACACTATAAGTTACAAAGACCGCAAGCTGAAGCTCGGTGTCCCGATCATGCTGCTTCGGAATCTATCTCCTCCGTAGTTGTGTAACGGGACCCGCCTTAAAGTTATCTCGCTCCACAGACACACCATTGAGGCGGAAATTCTTACGGGTTGTGGCGTCGGCGAGGCAGTATTTATACCACGCATTCCAAAGACTATACAAAATGTCAAAATGGCCTTCATAGCGCCAGATAAAGAATAGACACATAATAATATTTTTTGAAAAACAGATTATTTGGGCCGCCCTTAGAGCTACGAAAAACTAAAAAAAAATCGGTCGACGTTACTTGTGGAAATGCTTAAAATTTGAACTCTGTAAGAGTAGTAAGGTCAGGAATTTAAACAAGCGATTAACGAACTTCGATCCGCTTATCGTTTTAATTTTGTAGTAAGCCGGCCATCTGCATCGTAATTATACTTTATAACAGGTTACCATCAAAACCTATAAAAATATATAATTACCTGCATTGTCATAGCAGTGATCACTACCAAAAATGCTCGCCGCGAGGTTGGTGATGTGACTGAAAGAAGAAATTAAAAACTTATTTCACTACTGCGATTTGCATTCATAAGATTTAAAGTCTTACTAGTTTACTTTCGGTCACAAAGGCATGCAAACCTTAAAGCTAGTACAACACCAATAGGCTATTTGACAGTATGAAAAATGAAGAATCGATTATTGATATGGGTATTAAACATGAATATTTTCACTGTTCTGGCAGAAAAAAAAATACTAAGTCAATAGTATTATTAAAAATCATGTTCTTTTTAACAAATGTCACGTGACCGAAAACGCCTACGAGGCGGAGCATAAAATGACGTCACCTGCTTGTAAATATGTTGTCGAAGTGACATTACTTTGTACTATATGACGTTTTAATGATAATATGTTTGCAACAGAATTATAAATATCCCTTTTTATTGAGTCACGAGTTCGAAAACTTGTCAAATAGCCTATTCTAAATTTTTAAAACAAATCCAAAAATACACATCTGAACATAGCTCTACTATTTCTGGTGAACATAGCTTAAAGTAAGATGTTGTATATAATATGATATTGTGTATACCCTACTCACAAAGTGTCTTGAATCCAGATTTCTTTGGCAGTGGTCCAAGGTTCAAATTTTCCGCGTCTAGCTTTTCTTTTTCAGTTTCTTCTGGCTTATCTGTCAAATCACAAGTTTTATGAAAACACTAGTTTATTATTAGCTTTATTAGTGTCAATGACATTAAAATTTGTCAATTGACTTTTAACTTTATTTTGATACTAGCGGTCCGCCCTGGCTTTGCACAGATGAACTTTATTTTAACACAATATATTATAATATCCCATGTTACTCAAAGTAATTTAGCATTCTAATTGATAAAGATTTTTTGCCATCGGCCCAGTAGTTTTTGCCTTTATCCGTTACAAACAAAAATTTTTGTCGTGTTACAGTAAACTATGGCTATTTTGAAGTAGTTGATTTACTCAATACTGAAATGAAATAAAATAAAATAAGTCCGCATAAATGGTAAAATATTCACTTACCGGTAATAGATACCATCTCATAAACAGGACTTAGTTGTTGTTTCAATCTTGAAAGTTCTTCTTGTACAATCAAAGATTTAGACGCTGCGCCACGATAAACGGCCAGTGATAAGCGAGCATCCTGAAATAATAATAATAACCTTTATTTCATACCATAATCCCAGTGTTTACATTGTTTACTCTCACAACAGTGCTGAAATATCAGAAGCTCGCTTAAAAACATGGTACATGGTAACCATGTCATCCGTAAATAACATAAATTACTATATAAAATTAAATATAAAGATTGTGGAGAAGAATGAAGGAGTTCTACCTGATAACGACTAACACGTGCGATCTAAAAAGAAATGCGAACTACGTATATAACACAGAGTCTCTCGTCATATTCTTGGATTTTCGAAAATTATCTCTTTCATTTTTAATCTGGATCATGAACCATGAAATAGCTGCGCAACAGCCGGCAACGTTTCTAATTTCCATAACACAAGCACTAACCTATATCAAAACTATGCCAACACTAATTAATTTAAAGATTTAGTTAATATTGATATAAATATGCTAAAGTCTAGATAACTTACGCGAGGCTCACATTAACGGTTATTATTCAAATTTTAACGCTGTTACATGGTTTAATGGTATAATAAATAAATATGTATATAATCACAAAAAAGAACAGTGTTACTTCGCCGCCATGTTCTACTTTTTCTTTTGTCTACAGATACATCCATAATTATGTGGTTAATTTCTATTTACCTCCTCTCTATTCTTCTTCAACAAGTATACAGGGCTCTCGGCGATGACCATTAGCAGGCCGCAAGCAAACACGGCACTCGCTAAGTTGATCCAAACTATAGTGTTGTAACTAAGGAACCATCCTAATAAATACGACACTAACGCTCCAATGCCGTATAATAGGATAGGTGCTGAAACATTGACAAAAATATTGATTACATATTAACCTTGAACATTAATTAATTTGTTCATAATTAAATTATAATATTTAATGCAATATGAAAGCGAAGATTTCATAACGTCTCACTTGAGTCTACATGTTTGTAATATTATATTCATTAGGGGAAAACCGGGATAGATGCCCAGGTAGGAGAGCTGAACAACGATATTAAATACAGAACCATCTTTCAAATTTGTTTTTAAATGTAGCGCAAACGAAACGCAATTCTCTCATTGGTCACATGCGAGACACCAATCACAATAAAACAGTCTCGCGTGTGACCAATGAACGAATTGACGTTTTGTTTGTGCTAAATTTATACTCAATTTTGAAAGATGGTTTAATTCTCCCACCTGGGCAAGGCTCGCTGTTTTCCCCCTATACTGAACAAAGTTTTGAATTATTTATAACAAAAAACAATGTTACCTATTACATAAAAATAGTGACAACTACTAGTAGACAAACTATGTCAACTGTGTTATTACAAAACTGTTTTGTTAATTCTTACACACAAGTGTAAGAACTGAACAATCAGTAATTGGTTACGAAATGATTGCTTCAGTATAGCTTCACTATACAATTCAAAGCGATTTTTGTGCTTGCTAATAAATAACACAAAATAGTTGTAATTAGGCCAACTCTATGTAAGTAATCACTTTAAGTGTGTTTGATTATAACTACACAATGTTCTGTTGCAGATTATCGAAATCGAATTTGACAGCTTATAACAGAATGGTTTAGTAGTTTTTTTAACTGAAATTGATTAACTGAAATGATAGTGCAAAATGCAACAGAACATTGGTCTGTGAGCGACTGAAATTTATTTATTAGTAAACTAAGTTTGTCTAATCATTAGTTAACTCAACTAGCTTTGTTCATTATTTTTTTCAGTTTATTTACGACTTCCAAACTTAAGAAGGCTTCACGAAGTCACTGAAAACGATTATGTTAATAAATGTTGATTTAACTGTGTTTATTATATTATACCTGAAGCTAAAGCCCCTCGAATAGAATCCTCTGCGACCTCTGATATGAACATAGGAGAGAACACGAGATTAGCACCTCCCGAAATACCACCGATGAATCGAGCTGCTAGTATTGGCGTGCTGGATTTTGATATTGCTATTATGGCCCATGCCAACTGAAAAAAATATAACAAGTATTAAAATAGACAATTTTAAAACAATACTTTAAGTATAAACATTCAACTTCTGTTGTCACCCATAGCAAGATATATCCCATAGCGGGATTGAACTTCATAAAAGTGGCAAGCAAGCTCATGACAAAAAGTATAGTATAGTAGCCCAAATTATAGGCATTTATGATCCCCTATATTTCATAAAGACTTTCGTAAGCAAGTAGAACCAAACATCATGATCTCATCTTTTCCTGACCCTAATAAATTTAATCAGTGACTATTTATCTTTCACACGCAGACAATGAGTGAGTAATAATTTTGTCAAAATTCTTCATACTTCCTATTATACTAATTATAACCTGAACATTTATATTGCACGATATAACACGTGTTATCCATAGCACCATTATTTAATTAACGTCACTGATAAGCAAGACTTACTTCAACAATAATGCTTATTGAAAGAATTCACATGTGATATAACATTAGCTAGTTGCTATATAATTTTTCTTATAACAAGCATTATATATTGTCCATCAAAGTGAAAATGACGTAAACTTTGATTAAATTATCAAAAATTTCGGTATTGAGAAAGAAAATATACCTACTACTTTTGCCCTTTGGGTGATTTATGGGTGATGTATATGGGAAACCAATAATTTTGACTTGACACATGTTGTCTTGGAACTGTAAATTTATAGTCAAATAGTATTTATTACGTTAGTTAGTTATGGAAATCAGTATTTCGAGATTAAAACAAAAATTATAAAGCTTTTTTTTTCAATAAACATTTTTCATTGACCTGACAGATCCGATTTACCAAATTTAACAAATAGGTTCTTCTACGTAAAGGTATATTGCAGTAAATAAAGACAACGAAAACATAGTTTGGAAAATAGATTAGGAACCAAAACAGGTAAAGAAGATCTAAAAAAAATACTAGAAAAAATGTCATGTGGTCCAGGCAGCAGACGGGACTCTAACTAAAATTGTTTTTTCCTCTTCAAATGTTTAATACTTGTAAAGGTTATTTCGTTTGACATTGTGGGTTACCTACAATGCGAAGAGATGGCACTGCCTTGCAACCTAAGAAATACTAAAGGAAATTCGACGCGTCCATTCAGGTCGCGGTAGCATAATTGGTCAGTGCATCCGCCCGGACAGCGGGTTCGAGTCCCGTCTGCTGCCTGGACCGCGTGCATTTGTTTCTAATAAAATCTTCTTTACATTTAAACATCTAGAAGTTAGATGTTTAAACAAAATATATGTAAACCATATTTTTAATAACGTTAATACAAGAAGACTTTAGTACCGACTTGCTACTGACATGAGCTCGTTTGCTACCCATCTTATTTAAAGAAAACATGACTGTTATTATTGAATACTTACAACAGCTGGTAACGTCATAGCTAATCCTCCCAATTTTCTTCCAAACGTTTCTATTAGAGGTCCAACTAAAGCAGTGCCCAACATTGCGCCTAAGGAAGGCAAACTGCCTAGTAAAGATATTTGCGCCGATGTCATAGGTTCTGATAGCAGAGTCGTGTTGTCCGATTTGAATAATGGAACCGTATAAGAAGGCCAAACGTAAAACATACCCATGATAAGTGCACCGAAAGCAGCTGCAATGATGAAGTCAGTCAGATCAGTTCATTATCAAGTACAATGACAAATTAATCCAAAATTGCACACATATACATTGTCATGTAAGCGATATCATTTAAACACTATCACATCTTGTCCCTAAGTCATAATAAGTGATTGAGAATATTAATAAATCATTTTGGCTTCATATCATATTAGTTATCATTCCATTAATTAAAAAAAGAAAGTTGATTGATCAACATTAATGCAAGTTTTGATCTGTTTGATTAACATATATAGCATATTAAAATATATCATTCTCTTTAATGGTGTAATTATGAATGTTTCGTTTCGAATTACAATCTACTCGTCATAATAAATTTCCAAAGAAGACGTTAAAACAGTTTTACTATACCACAATTTGGATTATTTGGTAAATTTCACTCACTTGCCCCAGCAGTAAAACTTTGATTTAATTTCCCTTTTCCCATGTTTGAATTGTTTTATTGCTTCACTAAACTATTTTTTTGCTCGATCCGTCGCCCGCGAATCTTCCCTTACACTTTGATTAGCAACTGATGAATGTTTTCTCTTACAATCTACTAGTAGACGTAGTATTAAAGTAAATACAGAATAAAATTCAGCTAAGCTTAAATTAAATGTTTTGTCAAGATAGCGTAAATATATTTTAATATCTACCTATCTTATTAATATCATCTTGTCTAAATATACAAAATACGAATTTCATCATATATATTTGTTTCTTAGGTTTTCACGCACATCACTTGTGGTTAATTTTAATTTATTGCTAGAATTTTGGAGTTGTGCATATTTGCCAATTATTATCTTTTAATGTTTCCTTCATATTTTTCCTCGTTCTCTTCCTACTGAAATGTGTATAAATGATAAGTATTATAAATATAAAAATATATAAGGCAGAAGAAGCTAATATGAAAACTGTCGGCATTATTTGATGTAAGTATTAATAGTAGCATTTAATGGTAATTATGATGGAGAAATATCGAATCCAATCTAAGGTATCCGTCACGATGAAAGAAAAATAGTCTGATTAAAAAAGCAGTCCCCAGGATTAAAACTTAAAAATATTTATTTAATCATAAAATCATCACAGCAACTTCAACTGCTTAATCTATATGATGTGGATTAAGATTTAGAGTTCAAGCAGGTTAGCAGGAAGCAGTAGACAATTTTATAACGTAAAGTTTTTTAATCTCATCAAATCATAATGTAACACAATTTACAAACATAAAACACATAAAATAAGCGAATGCTACAATGTAGAGGCCCCGCTGTTCCAAAAATTCAAAGATTTAAAGATAATTTATATTAGAAAACCTGTGCAGGCAGTGGGTCTGATTTTATTATCCTCTTTTTATGTTTCAGCAGGCAAATGAGCAACAATCCAGCGATGGTAAGTGATCCATGGACACTTGCAGCATCAAGAGGAACAAACCACTGATGCGTTGCCGGCTCTGAAGCAAAAGATTTATCCACCTTTGGAGACCGCCATATCATAGCTTAAAGGAAAAACCGTTGAGAGAAGTGCGTTCCAAATCTTGCTGAAACGCAACAAAAAGGTATCGCATTGTGCTTGAACTCCCAAGCGTCTAAATAAGGGGGGGTGATACTTCTCTCTGCGGCGTGTGGTGTGGTGTAGGAACTTGGCCGTTGGCACTATTTATATTTATATATAATTCCTCGGAACTCTCACCATAGTATAGAACACGCGTAAAGACGCAACGTCTCTACACAAGCTTAGAGGTTGCAACGCTCCAGTGAGCTCTGTTGGATCATTGATAAGTCGAACCACTCAAAACGAACGCTGAATTCGTTCCTATAATTGGCAGCAGTCTCATTATGCTCTATATAAAACGAAAAGAGAAAAAAGTGTTCACAGCTGTTCATTTTTCCATTCAGCTAAAAAATCCAGTGCCTGACAATCTACCTCTATTGATTGATTCCATACATAATCTTTGACTAGATCAACTACAAATTTTGCGTGCTAGACAACCATTCATAAAGCTACCACAAATTGCAAATTTTCTCCATAATTTGTGAATCAAATGTCAATCAATAATATGTGGATCAAATTCATTTATATAAATTTGCCAGTTTGGATATCTTTACCTGTGACTGTCTGTACATAATTATAATTATCCACTATGAGCATCGCCCATGCCTTCTTTGGAATGGCATTAACGTCTTCATCAACCTCATTCTTATGACGCCCACTGCATAGCCCTACCAATACAATATTCACAGCAGCTAGTCCTGCGAAATCTGAATCCAGATCGCAAGTCAAGACAGCACAATTGCATGAGCGTAGTTGAAACCCTTTCTGGCCCAACCGCTATCGGTTCTCCTCTACTGGCATTCGGGCAATCTTTGTTATTTTAGTTCTTTAGATGTGCTAATTGCTGATTCTATTGAGCTCACAGTGTAAGCTTGAACCTTCTTACGAGACCCACATTCGGGACCAAAATGAGACCATTTACTACAGCTATGGGTCTCATAAATTTAAAGTAATTAATTTTATAAATGGTGACACGCCCTTCCTTTGCTTCGTTGTAGACTGTAGTTTTTATTCTCGGCTTGTATTATACATATTAACCTTCCGTGAAAACTGATGGTGAAAACTACATTACAATTCACACAAACTACATTTCAGTACTCTTTTAAATAATCGAGGAACATACATAAGGCTAGAAGCGAAAGCAAATTTTAATTTTTAATGTAATAAATGTATAGATTTCGCTTCCGTTGCAATAATACGTCGAACGTATCTTACGCTCGTGCTTTGTGTACGAATATCCTTAATGGCTTGTGCAAATAATGTGTTGATACTCGATTGTCATAATTAAAGATAATATTTACGCGATAGTAATAATACAACACGTCATTTACTACTCTGATAGTGGCATTGAGATCATCTCTCAACGATATTAAGAAAAGACACTTCAGATATAGGTATATAAATATTTTCTTCTATGCCGAAACCAATTCCTTCTTTGAAAACTGTCGTTCTTTGAATATTTAAGTTTATTTATTTATGCCAATCCCAAGCTCTAAATATACGAGTGGCTACCGGCACATGACTTGCAATAATAGTGATTTGGACTCCTACCAAAAACATGCTCCAACATTTTTTATTCAAATTTAATCCTCTTTCACACATCATTATATCTTTTTCAATTATTTAAAGTGAAATGGAAACAGAATGAGGCTTTATTGTTTTGACTAAGCTGGCCTAAACCTTATCACTTTCTCCTCCTGTCTCCGTTTTATGTCTAATTATATTATCATTTTGGGATTCAGTCTGTCAAGTTATTTGATATAGATAACAATTTATAAATCAACCACAAACTGAGTTATTATAACTAAGTAATGTTTATTTAATAAATGCGATACTGCGGAAAATTTTCCAGTACGTCGACAGGACAGGAGCTTAAAAATCATTAGTATATCATCAAATGAGAAACTGATGTTGAAGTTAATGGGACCCAACAAAGTACTTTACTTAATGTTAAGTGTTAGTGTCAGATATAGTCGTAATGTTCGAAAATGCCAAAAAGACAGAATTACTCGGAATCATTAAGCAAAGAAATATCCATATGTGAATTATTATTATTAAGGAATACTATATAGAGAGTAACCTACACGCTATCAAATTAAATAGGAGCATAACGGTAAATAAATATTAACCTAAATAATGATTGTATTGACGTTGTAACAACAATAATGATTTGTAAATGTTGTTACATCATTCTTTTAATGTTGAGCTTTTTTCGCTCGTTTTACGTGTATAGAAAAATCATTTTTTTAAAGATTCAAAAGAGTTGTACCACGCCGTACTATAATTCCAATTTGAATAAACATAATTTTGATTTTGATTGCGGACAAAGTGGCAGGTGGCCGCATGTTCCACGTAAACCAAAGACAAAAAAACACTAGTATAATAGTAATAAATAACAACAGTTGAATTCTATTGTATCAAATTTTATTAGACTTATTTATACATATCTCGTTAAAAAAACATTAGTTATATAAAATAAATGTACCTTACGTTATCACTTATTCACTATTGTAAATTGTAAGCTCATGCAAGAGATCTTATACAGTGTAGTAATATTGCTTCTTTCTGATTACAAACTATGTTAATGCAGTCGCTTAGCATAATGCTTCTCTAGCACCATACGAGTATATTGGAGCGAAACGTGATAATATTATTTTAATAGATCACTTATAATGTGTTAACAGCAAAGTGAACACTAACCGCCATATTAATAAACGACGAATAAGCTTGGATTTGTTAATCTATGTTTTGTCTCTGTTCATTGAATCACAAAGGACACTTGAGTGCTATGAACAAAACATGGCGGCGTAACAAATCTAAGCTTAGTCCTCGTTTATTAAGAAGGGGGCTAAGTGAATTCTATCACTTCAATATCTTTCGTTTAAAGTATTTTTATTTTTGTGGAATTGAAAATTTCTTCTGCGCCACAATCTACTCCTTAACCTATTGATTCGATTTAACAAAAAAATTAAAATCAGCTGAGACACTATGAGTTAAGATGTAGCAGACATTTAGTCATTGATGCTGAACCATGGGAGATTTTAAAATGCATTATTACATTAAAAATAATGTGAATGATCAGTACTGTAACGCCCGCAGCGTTACAGCCTTTTTGCATGTCGAGTGCCAGTACAGCTGGCAGTCTTATTAAAAATTATAAAGTTTAAAATTCGAAATAGAGAATTCGAGTACCTTTTGTCTCGTTTTGACAGATGGCAGATTGAAAACGAGTAGAGACATTGAAAGATCATATAACTGTATTCTGACAATTCTATGTAATATGGCATAAACTATAATCTTGCAAAAGAGAGCTGTTCGCGCCATATTTAAAGGCAAGAAAATCTCTTACATTTTTTTTTAAAGAAATTTATATTTTAACACTGGCATCGCAATACGTTTACGAAAATATAATATTTATAAGAAAAAACTATGACGCATTTGCAAAAAAAAGTTAAACCCATAACTTTAACACGAGATTTAAGAACAAGCTTGCCGTTCCATGTTTCATACTTCAAAAATCAAGAGGTTCATTTCTGGGATGTAGTATTGCATTGTTTAACAAAGTTCCCCAAGATCTGATTGAGCTTCCACTTACCAAATTTAAATCTCATATCAAGAATAATTTTATGAATAAGGGCTATTATAAAGTTAATGATTATCTAAATGATCGTAATGCATGGACATAGTGTTTCTGGTAATTTGTTATTTAATGGGTATTAATTAGTCAGTTTTTGTAACAGTAATATGGTACCTATCTAATGCCGCTTCCTATATACTAAATATAAAATTTATTGAACTATATCTTTAATGATGTAATGAAAGGTGACTTCAGAAGTATCTCTGAGGTCATTTTTCAACTTGACGACTCTGTATATATTAATACTAGGGAGAAAAAAGCATTACTTGCTAAGTTTCTTGCCGGTTCTTCTCAATACAAGGTCTCCCGCCGTAGTTTTGCGAACCGATAGCGTAGCTTTTTGACCTTCACGAGTGCTTGTAACAGCCTAGACTGAATAAATGAATTTTCATTTCATTTCATTTCAATCAACCGTTCGTTTTCTTTGGTAAAGTTGCACCTCCCAATATTCCCATCTGGAATCTTACAGTACCAACAAATGCTGTTTTTGAAAATGTTTCCTATATTCAGTTTGTTTTGCTTGCATATTAAACTTGAATTAATGTCTGGTAAAACACCTATATTTTTATTTAACTGGAGCCGAGTAGTCTTTTATAACATGTTTTAAACCTTTGAATTTATCAATTTTAATTCACTTTATGATTACTTACAACTTTGCGATTCCATTTGTAAATGATTTTCTCGTTTTATTTACTAAATCTTAGAGAAATTCTTTAAATGTTCTCATTTAGAAACTAAAGTTTTGCTTCATCAAGCCTAGGCGTAATCAGTAACATAATGTAACTTTGTATGAAAGCAAATAAACAGTAACTAAACTTTTATCAGCCAAGGTAAAGGCCCTGTTACAAGATACAAAAAGATTTATCGCAATATCCATCATGGATTTAAATAATGTTTAGATGATGATAATATGTGTTAGTTAGTTGTAACAGGACCTTTACCTAGGCTGGTAACCTTTCATCCTTACATGCATCTCCTTTATTTCGATCTCAATGATAAAAATGTCTCTAGGCAATTTCTAATTAAAATTAATTTGAATTGGTAGAACCAATGATTGTTTATCTAGCCCAACGAAAAAGGTTATAACAATTGATGAAACATCATCCAATTATAATAGCGAAGTCAATAATTAAGAGATTTAAGTACCACAGACGCTTTTGTAATAATAAAACAAATACTTAATATGAATAATTGACAATTATTCTTTACATAACTGTGCAAGTACACATCAGTAAAGTAACGTTGTCACATCATTATCAAACCCTTTCAACAAAAAATCCTAAAACAGCTTGCCATCTTTAGATTATAATAAACAGTTTCAATGTAGCTTTGAAATAATATTCATTTTCGAGAAATATCCATTCAAAAGATCATCCTTTGGAATAAATTATGTAGTAACAATTTATTTCACTTATGCTGATCTTTTGAATGAAAGTTTTTTTGAACTTTTTTTTTAATGCAAGCTCTCGTCACTTCTGGTATTGTTATCAACATAATAGGATTGGAACCTTAATCTTATACATAAATCAGTTGTTTTAAAGTCGAAAAACAATGGAGTTGACCGAAATGTGTATGCTTTCACACATTCTTTCTGATTAAGTTACTTTCAGCGACTTATCAGACAGATATTATAATAATTCTCATTCTTCAAATGGTAAAATTGACAAGCTTGAATACATTAAATAGATTTTAAGGTATGTTAAAAAAAAGCTAGACTTTGTTGTTTCTAACTTGATTAGGTCTTTTCTGGAACAGCAACTGTATCTCATCTGCTGACAGTCCTTTTGTCTCAGGAAGACAGAACTGACTGTAAATAGCCCCGAAAAAACAGACAACAGAGAATAAGCAGAAGGTGAATCCTAAGCCAATAATATTAACTATAGGGTGGAAGACAATAAGGGTAGCAAAGTTCATAATCCACATGAAAGCCATGGTTATGCTGTTGCCGAGGCCACGAACCTGAAAACATAAAAAAAATTAAATAACCAAATTTTTTTCTAACTTAAGCCTAAAAATTTCGGGTACTAAAATAAGTATCACATCATTTACCTCTGGCAGAAACACTTCAGCTGTCAATACAAACGGTACAACCGCTGCTCCAAGGTTGTACACAAAACCAAATACGTAGATGAATGTAGCAGTGACCCAGTGAGGAGCCCAGTGGTATCTCAGCTGTGTACCCAATAGCAATGTCAGGATTCCGGATCCAACAGATGTAGTAGTTAATAAGAACTGAAATACAATAATTTATGTTAATAATCATAAATACAATATGGACTATTAAATTAGAACTAACTAATACCATAAACGTTTAGGTATATACAGCAAATACTTTCAGTGTCGAAATATAAAAGTCACAAAAATGATAGTACAGATCCGTGGTACAGATTAATAAATTCGTAATTCGAGTATTTCGACATGAGTGTAGATAAAACGTTTTACTGCACGCTTCTATATATGGCGCCGTGCGTATTCTTTACGGTTTTTTTTTTAATTTCGGTCGAACCTCCTTGGAAGCACTCGTAATCTATCTTTACCTTTGTCTCACTTTAATCCTAAAAAACCGGCCAAGTGCGTGTCGCGCCACGCTCTGTGTAGGGTTCCGTAGTTGCCTGTCGTTACAACTGTATATTTGAGTAGGAGTCCTTATTTTTGGTATTGCAAATTTAAAAATCTATTAATATCAAACTATGTATCTCAACTAAAATATCTATATCAAAGTCAAACTGCGTCTCAAACTCAAAATCAACTCGATTTTTTTTAAATATGAATAATAACCGCCGATCTTTTCATGTGTTTAAATATATCACCTAAATATAATACATTAAAGAAAGATTGTGTACATCGTTGACGTAGGTACTCCCGTCGCAGTAGCTTTGTGGAACTAATGGAGGCCATACATGTTAGGTTTTGCATGATGGTTTTAACCGTGCATTCATAATCGACATGCATAACCGAGTTACATGCACCGAAAACTGTACAGTTTTATCACATACACGCTAGGGCTTGCCTGTCGGTTATGCATGAACGGCTAGAACCATCATGTATAACCTAATGTGTATGGCCTCCATAATGATGTTTTATAGTGGTTTCTAAATATTTCTTTTTAGATTTTGTTTTTCAATGCAAGTTTAACCGTTATAATTTTCCTTAAAAGCACTTCAAGCCAATAGTTAAGAGGGGGGGGGGGGTTAAGAGGGGGAGGGGGGCTACTCGAGCAAAAATTAACACCTAATAGTTCAATATTTCGCAAACGTATCCCAAAATCGTAAGTAATTTTTCAATATTTTTATTCTACTTTTTTTTGTCGGCGTGATTGATATACATATCTCCACACACAATTAATTAATTAGCTACCTAGTGCTTACAGTCTTCAAGCAAAACCGGGGACGGACTGACGGACATGACGAAACTATAAGAGTTCCTTATCAGGACTACGGAACCATAAAAACGTAAAAGTTATCATAATATAACATAAAATGATAAATGGTTTATATAATACACCTCGATGATACTCAATTAAAAAGTCAATATAATGAGAAATCGATAACCAATTGGTATAAATATCACTCTCATACGTCGACATCCATCTTTTAACATTAATTGAATTTACGACGTTTATTAAAAAATATCGAAAAAATTTAGACTATCACCTACAAATACTTTCACTGTATGCATGGAAAAGTTTATATTGTATTTCTACAAACGTTACAGCTAGACGCTAGACAGGCGTTTAAATTACACATTGTGATGTAGAAAAGGTATTTGAATGTAAAATTTTCTTACTCATCTATATGAGTTCTTACATCATACTACTGATTACAAAAAGTTTACTGAATTCTCATTAATACAAAATTTAGGGAAAGCATCGTCAAAGTTTATTGTAAACCCAATCTTGTATCTGAGAACCAGCAAACCTAAATCAAAATGTTTTTGACGTGACAACGTCTTAAATTAGGTTGCGGCTGGGAGTCACTTATGAAAAAGTGTAACGCTCGGTAACGTTACGATGAGTCTCTCGTGTTAAGTTTAAGTTTACATGTACAATGTTTTAGTAAACAAAATATATTTCTATAGTTAAAATTTGTGCAATTCTTATTTTCATTCAATTCCTTGTTCCTATTGTGCAATTTAATTATATTCATATCAATAAATATTCTACCGAGAAAAAGACGTTGTCACGTAAAATCTTCGCCCGTAAAACCGACTTTACAGGCAACCATTTTTCAACAATATGGAATTGTTCCCACAATCATCTAACCCTAGGTACTTATATACTCCAGCTAAAGCGTTTGGTCCATTCTATAAAAGTACATTATTTTTAATATTTTTTATTATTTTAAAGCATATAACTGCTTGTTGTTTAAATCTAAAGAAAATATATTAGAATAGATTGCGAAGGGTGCGAGTTCGAAAAATAATAAAAATTATAACTATAATTGCTATTTTCTTCTTTCAAATGTTTAATACTTGTAACTGACACTATGGGTATTCATTTGACATTATGGGTTACCTATAATGCTAAGAGATGGCGCTGTCTTGCAGCTTAAGAATGGCTAGAAGAATTTCGATGCAGTCCGTGAGGGCCGCGGTAGCATAATTGGTTAGTGCATTCGCCCGGATTGCGAAGGGTGCGGGTACATCAATTTTATTAAATAGTTCGATGTTTAAGGTAAAATGGATCCAGTTCTCCTCTATATATACATCGTAGAAACCATTAATCCTCTAAATAACTCTTCCTTCAGTGATACATCCTTACCTTTCTGCCCAATCTGTCTAACAGCACAGAGCATACGAGACTAGCCACTACATAAACTATAGCCAAATATATTGAACACTGATTGGGATCCATAGATGGGACTGCTTCCTTGAATAGTGGCTCTGCATATACTTGAAGAGCGATGGAACCCATGCAGATTGTAGTTACCATCACGATTATAACTGTCGCTAAGGCCCGTTTTGAAGATTCAGATTTTTCTGAAATTGATAAGGTGAGTAAGCAAACAATACGCTGTATAGGTATGTACAACATTAATATTTTAAAACCAAAAAAGCAAAGAATATAGCCAAGAAGTTGATTACGAAACACAAACAGATCAGCGCAGAAAAAATAATGAATACAGTGATATAGGTTCCTTATTATTAGAACTCATTTTTAACTGGTTAAGCGATATTGCTACATGTTGACGTCTTTAAGTACCTTTAGTCAATGGTTATCTTATGCTTTTCTATTAATATGATAAAGAAAATGGAGTAACAACTGTTTGCCTACTTACTCAAATACGCCCATGCTGACTGCTCTTTAGGGTTTTCCTTCAACTTAGCTTTAATCAGATGTTTACTTGAATCTGGAAAGAGTTCAAGGATTACTTCATGCATTTAGTTTTCACGCAATAAACTTGTTAATTTTTATGAAGGGTAACAGCAGAGTGAAAAGTTAATTATGATTGTCACTTTTCTACGGTATAATTAGTCTATTTTTAAAAAACGCAGCAAATAAAAGATTTAACATTATCTTCTAGGTATTTGTTTGCGTCATTATTCACATTATTTCAACCGTTTGTTTGATGCAGAAATATTTGGAGTTCTCCTTATTTTCAGATGTTTAACATTTTATCAACAACCAGAAAGAGTGTTGTCTAAGAAAGATTTCTATAATGAGTTCTGTTCATTTTATTCCGAGTGTTTATTCAGTCTCTTTCCAGGCAGATTTAGTAAGAGGTGCAGCGGTTTTTCCTCTCGAATTATAATGCCCGTCTGGGGAAGCCGAAACGACACGTGGAAGGTGTGCAATAGAGTACTTTTAGGTTTGGTGGTGTAGTTGTATTTTGATTGTTAAAGTTCCAAACTTTCAGGGGTGGATTGTAGTGGTATTTTAGGCCAGGTGGAGTGGAGACGTTATTAAAAACATTTTTCTGAAGCATCGGCAATATATGCAACTGCTCTCCGATCACACTTAACATCAGGGTTATTTGCCATGCCTTGTTTGATTTACCAAATCAAATCAATCGTTATACAAGTAAAGGATAATATTGTTTTATTTATAGCTATTTTTTGATGAAGGTAATATGAGTTATTGTACTAAATATAAATTGTTGCCGCTGAGATTTAGGATAACATTGTTTTACTAAAACGGATACATTTAATACCTTGGTAACTGGCATTGATATTTGTTTGGATTTCTTAAAAGCAAATCCAAAGCTTCTTATCTTAATATTAAAAAGACAGCTATTAAGATTAACGCTCACATATTTATTACTTTGAGCTGTTAATACATCAGAAGCTTAGTTACCGTCTTCCGTACTAAATCTTGCCTCACCGTCATGGAAAAGAACCGTGAACAAATAGTAATATTGACTTTTAACGAGTTACATTTAGAGTTTTAAAAAACTGAAATTTTCTTAATTACACCATTCCTTTTGAAATAATACTCCTTCTAAGAGCAGCGTATAAAATAAAATATTTTTATCTAAAAATTTAACCTCCGATAAAACTGGAAAACAGTTAATAATAAACACTTTTTCAAAACCTTTAGTCAAATTAATATTTGGAGTCAGTGCCATGCATGTCTGATAGATCTAATGGCCAGCTATGTTACTCTATGCATTTACTACTTGAGTTGGCATGGCACCGACTTTAAATATTAATTAGACTTAAGATAAAAACGGTTTATTATCTACTGCTTTCCAATTTTTGCTGCTTTGCTGCGGTTTTATTTTTTATGATTTTTGTTTACAAATTGATCTAGGACCAGCTTTGAGGTATACCCAGTCCAATAAATCGAAAAATAATCATAGCAACCCCTTAATATTATCAAAGTATTAAGGACCCTATTTGACGATACCCCACACGATGAGGTAGACGATGAAAAAAAATTCACCCCCACTTTACATGTATCCGCCCTTAAAAAAGGATTTTATTACCAAATTTATATGGGACCAACTTCGGAGTATATATACCCTTTCCAATAAAAAAAGAATCATCAAAATCGAACTACTCTGTAAAAAGTCATGCGTGAACATCGCGTCGAATTGATAACCGTCTTCTTCTTTTTTGTCGGTTGAAAATTGATGGAAAAAGAGCTTAACCAAATAGTACCTTCATGAGCTAGTAAAGTATTTGCTGATTGTGGATCTAGCTGGAGCTTTATATTAGCTATCACCACCTCCACCTCTTTAGATCTCACGGGCACACGGCGGTAAAATGCCACAGCCCTAGCCGCTTCCTGAAAATTTCAATTTGGATTTGTTTCTTAACTAAAATCTGAACATTGTTAGCCAATATTTGCTTAATGGAGTATGGACTGTTCCAAGGCGCATCACTAAGACCTCTCTTTTTCTATGTTGATAAATTTTCACTTTAACTATCTAGGTAAAAATGGATAGCGCTAATACATTAGCATTTCTAAATTATAACTTAGATGAAGAAAATATGAACTCTCCTAATTCAATTGATTCAACATCAATAACAAGAAGATTCGTTTTATTCATAGATTTAAAGTGATTTGTTTTTAAATATCAAAGGTTTTGTTTAATCGATTAAGAGAACCAGTGGGTGCAACGGCAAAGTTCCTGCGTTTTGCTCCAAAGGAGTGTGTTGTCTGGGATTCATTTAATTGAAATTCCATCAAAATATTATATTAAATTAAACTTCGATATACACGAATCTTACCTGTTCCCTTCCTTTTTGCATCAAATAGACCGGAGAGTCTTGGAGTACGGCCAAGAGCAAGACATACAGAATAGACAGAGATAGGTGAACGTAGATCACCTGATGATATGTCAAACGACCACCTATCGTATAAGTGAATAGAAGACCAAGAAAGTACCCAGAAACTGTAGTTGAAGTAAGAGCACCACGAATAGAATTCTGTAAATCAGAAAATATAAAAAAAACTATTACTAAATTTGCATTATCATTGTAGTTGTTTTCAAAAGTATTTATCTTGAATAAAACACGCTTAGATTCAAGATGCCTCTTTTTATTACTTTTTTGAATTTTCGCATCCATTTCAGACTGCGTATTATAATTCTGACGACAAGCGTGTTTTATTTAATGGGTAGTCTGAATGAAAATATAAGATACAAATAAATATTTATTCTTAATATGATTTATGAAGCCTCATATGTAGGTTAAATTGAAATACTTAAGATTTATAAAGGATCAGCGCGTAAAATTCGCCTGTGTAAATATAGCCTCACTTGAGGCGTGAGATCTTATTTTCAATTAGTTCGGTTAATACACAGCCGATGTAAACACGCGTCACGATGAGACAATGTGCATTCAAAAGTTGCAGAAATAAAATAACTAACAAATAGGCAATGTGTCTGTCCGAGTATCTTACTTTCAGTAAGTACATGTCAAATACACTATATTTTACGCTATACTCTAATAAGTAATGTCATATTTCTAATAAAATCACAATATTCAAACCTCCACTAAAACATTTGACAACTTTGGTCCAATATTATGGCCAACTTTTTTCCAACAACCATTTCGCAGTGACTAAAAGAATGACGATGTAAAAACGAACTAACTCGCTGGTAAATGACTGGTAAAATACTTTATTTTGTGGGTCATACGGTTGATTTCACATTTTCCTTTTTTCACCTTTATTGTTTTTTTTTCAAGTATCAGATATAATTTATTGTTTTGTTCGTTTTATTACATTAAAGGTCGTATGTAGGAAATAACATTTTGTTCTTTGTAACTTTATTCCTTTATGATTGTGACATGGTTGTTATTAGGTTTAACTTAACTGTTTTAAAATATTTGTCTTTGTTTATTGGGAATCAAATGTAGCTGCATAAGTATATACTCTCGCGGACAATTTTTAGCTTTGTTTTGGTATGCAATCCGTTATCTATAGATATTGATCGAAGTTTATTTGCGTATAAATTATCCCTTTATATAATGTCATCTTTGACCGTCCTGCTATTAGATTAGTCTTTATTATTAAGAGCTCCAAATAAAATTATAAAAAAGGGTCTATTGTGCAGCTTTTATACATTATTTTTATAAAATATATCCGTATCAAACGTTTTATTAATTAGTTTCCAAGTGCCAGTGCCGAAAAATTACTTAAATTAACATTTCTGCAACGATTATTGCTGTGATCAAAGGTCAAAATTGAGTTAAAGTTTCAATCAGGTAAAAATCGCTTTCGAAATTGAGTCTTTCTGTGCATCCAGTGAATGAATCGCTGGCAGTTTGAACGACATTAATCGAGACAGGAAACATAGCACATAATTTGTTCTTAAACTCACTTGGCAGATTTCAGATATATAAACAGATGACACAGCCTGCCCAGCAGCGCCCACTCCAGCGAAACCCACGGCTAATAAAATGAGTGGCACGTAGTTCGTTATACACAGCACAGACCATGCAATCTGAAAATAGGGATATTAGGATTACGTTACAGCTTTTATGCATTTAATATGTGTATTGATATCTTAGCTTTGAATTTTGAAAAGAAATTTGTAAACATAGAGGATTTATATTTTAGTGATATACAGTACAAAACAACGCAATGCGTGTATATAAGAGAAACATAGTAGATTATTATTGAAACTTTCTATAATTGTATAGATAAGCTAGATTTTATAACTAAACAAGAATCAGAAATTACTGTATTAAGTGTAGCAACTTTATACTTTCAGTAATTCATTATTGAATAACTCTCAATTCACAAGGCTGCTGAGGTGACTAAACACTTTGAGCCTCTTCAGTTACGTCACAATAAGGTCATGACCAGTATTCTGAGGAGGTATTCTCCCTTATCCCACTACCTTGTCACCGACTTACTGCCACAATCCCAACGCGAACAAAGAATTTTGGTGACATGTGTGGCTTCTTACTGCAAACCGGGATCCCATTAAAGAAGCGTAATATGCAGGCTGGCAAGGTGAGTATGGCTGGTGCGGCAGGTAACACTGCTGTTCCAACTATCTTCGATACTGTAATCCACCGTTACTTAACATCAGGTTGGGAGGACAAAATTTGTCAGGCCTATTTATATAAAAACACCTATATAAAAAACAGAGTGGCAATTTAATAAATTACGCACCACACTTGGTAGTCCAAATAACATGGCTGAATACTTTCGCCCAATTGAGTCCAGAATGTAACCTATAAATGGTGTTACTACCAAAGCTCCAAGATTCGTCAAGCTTCCCAACAGTGAAACTTCTAATTTTGACATCGGATGTGAGAGCAGAGTTTCGTTTGAAACGAAATTTGCAAGTGTGTACGATGGCCATCCATACACAAAACCTGTTAGACTTGTCAGAAACGCGACTGAAACAAGAGTTGAATTTTATTAGCAAGACCCAGAAAATCTACCTGATCTTATGAGTTAAATATATCCCTGATTTGATTTAAAGTACGAATGAAATCAGCCTTATCTGCCATCCACATATGCGAAAACTTTAACAACAAAATAATTTAACCCAACCTCGTGTAAGTAGGCCCTATCTTCTTTCCGTCTATCAACCTCCTTTTTTTCTTTAATATCTTGCTTCCTTTTTGCTTTTCTCTTATCTCACCTCTACTTATTTTCTTCCCCGCCCTTGGGTATAATTTTGAGGGACTGAATACCCTGTCCGCGTCCGTGTCACTATCACAATGTCAACCAGTATCAAAATCTTAAAAACTATCAAAAATTAACCTCGTTCAAGTAAGTAGTTTACCAGATTTGGGATTTTCGGAGTCGCGAAAAAAAATATACGTACCCATTTCATTTTCAGTGATTTTTTCTTGACGCGGGTAATTGTTTCTATTTATTATATTTGCTTGAAACTAATAAATAGCAAAATAGTACGTATCTAAGAAAATTTACTTACAGAAACGCCTGCCAACACTTAATCAGCAACTAGCGGCCGCGCGCGACTTCGTCAGCGTTAACTTTAGTTTTTTGGAAATCCCACAGGAACCTTACATTTTTCTGAGATAAGAGTATCGTATGTCTCAATCCAGGCTATAAACTATAAGCGTACCAAATTTCATTCAAATCCGTTGAGTATTATTTAAGTGATTGGGTAACAAACATACTAACTTTTACATTTTTTATAATATTTGTACGATAATGAAGCTTGGTCAATCTATATTCATAGAATTTATATTTGTATTTTCGTATGTTTGTAGCGAACAAGCTTTAAAAGAGCTAGATCTGATCAAATCAAATTTTGTTTCCCCGTTAGAACGTCACCCTATCCCGGAGTGAAATAGATAGCCTATTTTATTGTGTTAAAATAAAGTTCACCCTCACAAAGACGGGGCGAATCGCTAGTCAATGATAGTGTAGCTTCACTATTTTCTTACGAATATTATAAATGTGAAACTTTGTATTTTTATTACTTAATCACGCAAAAGCGGCCGAACGGATTTGGAATTTATTACCTGGATTGAATCATAGAATACTTTTTTGGCCGCAAAATTTTTAGGTTCCTGTGGGACTTTAAAAATACTAAAGTTCAAGCAAATTAACTAAAATTAATAAAATAGAAGTCGAGGGCGGAAGCTAATAACAATTGCGTTTTAAATAACAAATATATAATATTTCTATTGTATTTGAAAAACTGAGTTAAAGTGCAATGCTTTTCCTTGTATAAAGGAAAAATGAAAGCCTTTTACAATCTTAATAGAAGCTGTATACGGTTATCGAAATCCTCTACAGATTGGTAGATTGTAACAATGTACTCTGGAGGAAATTGTTACAATTTTAATGTAACAATGTTTTTATCGAAGTAAGATTATAACAAACTAATACAAGGTTCATTTATTTAGCCTGGATAAGATTATGACTACAATAAATAAACAGACGTGTAATATTCTGCATGTGACTAACTAACGCATTGTGTGATACTGATAACTGATAAGAATAGACATTTTGCGGAATTCTGATCTCGATGGATAAATTTTTATTGTATTCAACGACAATGTTTGTTTATAAATGGTCTGTCAATCGGATTTACAAAGTTATCATTGTAGGTAAGTAACTAATTTGCGCTCGTAAACTAGGTAAATCCTGGAAATGTATGTACTATTATCCATTATTAGAATGTAAGTTAGGCGATAGCTGTCTATAGATTGAGGAGCTGGCGAACAAAACCGTTTAATTACATAAATATAAATTTTACAGGAGCTGTATAAAACTGAATGACATACTCGTACCTTCAGTGACTTTTGGGGTCATCCCTAAAGTACCTCACACTAATTTTGTGATTTTTATACCCCTCCTCCGTCCTTGTCACAGTCAGTCACTTTTCTGCTGGGTACACATATCGTAGGATGATTTGTTAAATCGAATTTTAGCGAAAATCTTAAGAATTTTGCGATAACGAACTTAATTAGACAATTAAAATCCATTTATTCGCCGGCCGCTGCCACCGCACGCTCGCTAGGCTCACGCGTCGGTTACAACACTAACCTAACCTTTTTTTTTTTTCGGAAAATGCCTTACTCATCCTACAACAACCTTCATTCCCAAATTCTTCTTTAAGGAGTTCATCTCACAGAAGGTGGCTGTCATCGCCATTGTCTTTCGCTAAATACCTGGGATTTTCGCGAAAAATCAATTTATCAAATCATCCTATCGACACATTGTACTGTGACTTGCTGAATAGCTTAATAATAGTCTCTTCATTACTTATCTCATGTCTAACAAATTACTTAATTTAATAATTGGATGGAGTGTATGATTAACTAGCTACCGCCCGCGATTCCGCCCGCTTAAAAGTTAGTATTTTTAAGATTCCCACAGGAACCTTAAATTTATCCGGGATAAAAATTAGTTATCCTTTGTCTAAATTCAGGTAATAAAGTATACCTATGTATGCTAAATTTATAAGAAATTCATTTACAGAAAAGAACAAACACGAACTTTCACATTTATAATATTAAAAAGTATTAGGTATAAAAAAAATTCAATGGGATATTATTATTTAAAGTGCCAAATTGCGATAACTGATATCGCAAGTGACGATCTTGAAATGGAAATAAAATCCGACTCTGCCTACGCCACACATCTGGCAATTATTGATATAATAATGGTTTAGTCAGTAAAGTTTAAGAAAAAAGTCCTGTCAAGGCTCCATCCTATCCCCACTCTCTTTCTGCTGCATATCAATGACTTCATTCCTCTTGAGAAAATTCATTGCTATGCAGACGATAGTACAATGCATGAGGGGTATCTCGGACAAGCAGCGGCTGGGCAGGCGGTAACCAAGGAGAAATGGGAGAATCTTGTCATTGAACACAATCAGGCTTTGGACCACATTTCTGAATTGGGTACCAAAAATTTGGTTGTGTTCAATGCTAAGAAAACACAGGTCTGCGTTTTCACTGCAAAAACATCGCCATTCCTTTCATGTCCTTCTTTTCAGGGCACAACACTGGAACTAGGGAGCAGTATCACCATGCTCGGTATGGAGATTCGCTGTGACTTAAATCCAAAAAATTACATCGAAAGTGTGACAAAAACGGTCCCACGCAAACTCGGAGTCCTGAACAAGGTGCGGCGTTTTTTCACGCCCGAGCAACTGTGCTTTTTGTATAAGATGCAGGTACGGTCTTGCGTGGAATATTACTCGCACCTCTGGGATGGCTCCGCCAAGTACTTGCTCGATGCTTTGGTTCGGTTACAGCGGCACACGATCCGCATCATAGGCGATGAGGAGGTGACTAAACACCTCGAGCCTCTTCAATTACGCCGTGACGTGGTCTAAGCGCGTTCTATCGCCTGCACCACGGCGGGTGTTCTGAGGGTTATTCTCTCTTATTCCACCTTCCCCTTTCATTCAGAGGACCACACGCGCTGGCCTACATTGTCACCGTCTAACTGTGGCCACAATTCCAACCAACGCGTACAAAGAAATTTGGTGACTCATTTCTTTGTCGCGCTATCCGTAAATGGAATGCTCTACCCGCTGACGTGTTCCCTCCTTCTTACAACCTGGGATCCTTTAAAAGAGGCGTGAAGAAGCAACATGCAGGCCGGCAGGGTGAGGATGGCTGGTGTGGCAGGTAGAACTGCTGTATCAGCTATCTTCGCGTTTAGACTTCACCTTCACTTAACATCAGGTGGGGTGGAGTCATTTGTCGGACCTATCTACAAAAAAATAAAATGAAGTTATATAACGCCTACCTAAAACGGTGGTGCTTACTTTCTCAATGCGCCTACCCGTACATTGTCGGCAGCGTTTATAGATAGTGAGATTACTATCACACTAATATTATAAAGGCGAATATTTGTGAGTGTGTATGTTTGTTACTTCTTCACGTTTAAACGGCAGGAGCGATTTTAATAAGGTACATTTATATTGTGTTTATGGTCGATTTTGGTTCTGCAATTGGATACAGATCCAAAGCCGCCGCTATGTGTTATTTTAATAAGGTATGGAGTTAACTGACACTCTGGATTAACAAATAAGCTACGTTTTGTTTTTTACTGCGGGAAAATATCTCTAATAAACCGCGGATAACACCGCGGAGCACAGCTAGTATAACATAAACAGCTAGCTCTGCCTACTCCATCCATAGAGGATAAACGAAGAAAAACGTTGAACGTTGATAATAAAAAAACATACGTCTTTGAAATTTCAATGATAGTATTGCAAAAAACTATTCACGTGCGAGACCAACTCGCACTTAGGCGGTTTTAAATATTTATTTTCTGTTATACATATTCTTTTTTTTTTTTATTTACTTATTGAGGAAAACACACAATAAAAAGATAAGAAGAACAGGAACAAGAAATTTGTACAAAGGCACTGCTTATTCCATATTAAAATTTCTTCCAGCAGGCCCGCGAAAGGAAAGAACTTAAAAAGGTCGTCAGTGTATGCCTCCTGAATATAAATAACAAAATACAATACTATATAAATCTACATAGATGTACAAATAAACATATATACGTAAATTAAATATACAAGTGCTAAAAAGGAGAACCAATACAGACAGTGTCCCTTCAACCTTCAAATGTAGCAACAGTTGGGATTATGTCTGATTCCTGCTGGCAGCGAGTTCCACAAGCGGACGGCATGTACCGTAAAAGAGGATGCTCTTATTAATATGAGGTGTATATAGGTATACTATTCTTCATTTTAATATTTCATAAACAACTTACTAATAATGGCCGCCAAACTCTGAGTGACGAAAGCGCAGAACGTAACTTTTTCCTTCATTTTAAATTAAATATTATATGCGACCTTTGTTTCAATTAAAATATTTTAAGGCTTCTTATTTTGTGCGAAATATTTTCTCATAGACCGTACACACGCTGTGCTATATGAACTATTTGCAACTAAGCTTTGCGTGTAGCGTACCTACAATTAAAACATAATCTGATAATAATTTAATGAGATTATTTCAAAGATCTGTTTGTATAACGTCTGGCACCGCTACCATTTCCATCTATCATATTCAGAAAAGATAAAACTGTAGGAAGGTTTTTACATTTAATGCCTGTTTCCTTATCTGTGCCTGTTCTGAGAGTTTAAAAGACTTAGTGGTCTAATCTAATCGTACAGATATCTCTTAGTATAAAATAACTGACCCGAAACTACCCGGAAATATTGGTTTTTCATACAAATTCGCACCCCCCCTTTTCACCCTCTGACAGGATGGTTTATAGGATAAATACTATCCTATGTCCTTCCCCAGGATTCTAACTATCTCTTTCCCAAATTTTATCTAAATCATTTCAGCAGTTTAAGCACGAAGAGGTTACAGACATACAGTCCTGGAACCTTACCCACCGGCAGAAATACAGTACCACCAAAAGGTAGTTAATTTACTGTGATCTACTGTAAGGTCTTCCACCATACAGAAGATCACAGCAATCAAATTATCAATTGCTTCCCCAAGACGGGCGTTCCACTTCGAGCGGAAAATTTGCTATGGTCTACCGCTCTTACACAATTACAGTTGATTCAAGCAACACATTGGCTATTATTTACATACCCCGAGCCCCATCCCCGACCCCCATACCCGACTCCGTGGAGAACTGGAGATCTTACTCACTAGGTAATATTCTTTGGCTACTGTAAGTATTGAGTCTACATTGGGAGCAATATAAGGTTGAATGTACGATTATATTGTGTTTGTTTGAATAATTCAAGTACGTCGTCTACTAATAAAACCATGTACAACCGGTAATACATTACCTTAAAAGTACATTTAATAGATATAAATAAATGAATATATAATTTTAAAATGACAAGAGATAAATGTTATTTTTCATATTACAATAAGAGACAAATAGCTTCTTCGCTATTATTTTATTTTACACACATAGCCAAAAACTTGGCTATCATTACTGCTTCTATTGAGCAGCATAATTATGTGGATCAGACTTTGGAATTTGTTCCAAATATTGACATTAATTGTTATTCAAATTAGTTCGTAAGACAACAGAGGAGCTCTCTAGCAACGTCATGACCAAGGAAAAGTCTAAATATTGTTCACCAAAATATACAAGGCTTTTCTGGTAAAGATTTAGAACTTATTTTTAAATACAATGAATATAAACATTTTATATTCTTTTGACGATCTCCGTGGCCAAGTGGTTATAAATATGTTGATTAAATACTTAGATTTATAACCTTTGTGTTTTTATGTCTTTTACAATGTTACTTTACTACACGACTGTACTTTACCGTTCCAAAAGAATTAGCCAAATAGTTAAGAGCACCAATAGGTCCTATTGTGTCGGTAAGTACGTCTTTGAGGGTCCAATGGGCACCATGTACTTGATAGGAGGTCGAACAGGCACTTTTTTGTAGGTAAGGTCCAATTAGGAGGATCCAACGGGTACTAGACCGTTTGTACGCCGGGTTTCATGGTGTCGCCGACTTGAGAGGTCCCTGGTTCAAATCCCGGTGGGGGCACATGTTTGTATGGTGAACACGAGCATTTCTACTCCAGTCATGGATGTTTAATATGTATTTCTATATAAATATGTACTGTATACGTATCCTATCCGTTACCCTAGAATCCCATAACACAAGCCTTACAGTGCTTACTTTGGGCTGGGCTAATTAATGTGAGTGTTGGAAATATTTATTTATTTATTTATTATATTGACAATTATATTGATATATGTTAGACTCGTTCGAGAAATATAAAGTTTCGATAAACCAAAAATATGAAAATTTACACAAACATTCATTCGGTTGGTAAAAACTTTTGAGGTTTGTCAAATAAAAAAACGACGTACTGGGTCTTAGTTCACCGATTTTTTTTTTAGTTGGTTATGAATTCAAGGTTTGGGATTGGGATTCCATAATCCTGATAAGGAACCCTTATATTTTCGTCTTGTTCGTCTTTCTGTCCGTCTGTTAGCACTAGGGGGTACTGTAATTTTGTGTAGAAATGTACATCAATCACGCCAAAGAAATGATAGAACAACATTTTGAAAAAAAATATAATTTTTTAGAGTGCCTCATCTACATGTAACCCGGAAATGATTTTTGAAGTGAAACTTCTTTACGCACGCTTGACTTGGGGGGTAAGCGGGCGAATGCGTTACGCGTTACGAAAAGTGTGTTCGGGCGAGGCGAACGGAAGTTGAGTGTGGAGTATAAGCAAGAGAAAGCAGTGCGCGCGCACATTTTTTTTCTCTCTTTCTCTTATAGCTAGTAAATGAAATATGTGCGGTGACGGAGAAAGAATACCACTCACCGCCCTATTCACTTCCCGCGGGTATCGTAAGAAGCGACTGAGGGATATCCGAGCTTCTATCTGCTCTTCTGGTGGTAGGGGGCCTAACACCCACCTGGTGAAAAACCCGTGAAGTGCTTCACGCGCGTTTCGGGGTCAGCTAGCGTACAACCAGAGCTCGAGAGGAGATTGCCGCGACGGATTCGGTCCAGTGGAGGCATCCGTCGTACCGATGCCGGGAGGACTGCATCGACCCACCGACCAGGGAGACCCGTAGAAACAGCTGACCCGCTGGCCGCCTGTGGCACAGTACAGGAGCCCGAGAGTTCCTAACCAGTTCGCGAGGCTGCCCCATCATGTCACGCATAATCTCGGGGTGGACCGTCGTGCCGGTTGGTGACCGGGGCGTGGGGTCCCGGCGGCCACTCCCGGGAGGGTGCCCGGGCCCTTCCGTCCGTCGGATCGGCGTATCTCTTTCCTTGGCAGTTACTCGGGACATCGTGCCTCCACATATTTGACTGACTTTATCGCGACTAACTCCACTCGATTCACGTCTCTCAACTTTTTTCTCATGATGGCAGCCCGTAAAATAAAGTTTGGTTGTACAGCGATGCACACCCCCACGCCTTCCGCGCTGTTTGAGGTTGAGTTCTGTAATATACGCGGACTCCACTCTAACCTCAATGCGGTCCACCACCATCTTGAGACAGCACGGCCAGCACTATTGTTTCTTTGTCTACTATGGGTCGGCAGATTGGGATGGTGTGCGCGACTACTTTGCGTCCGTCCCTTGGAAGCAGCGCCGCTTCAGTGAAAAGGATCTATCATACAGCGCCGTTGATGTTTGATTCCACATTATGATCTCATCAGTAACGGAGAGGGCACACGTAACCGCTGGTTCAATCGCGACTGTGCCGCGAGAGGCCGCGCTCTTACGGATCCCGGGGTTAACTCACTGAAAGCTGCCTTTAATAGTGCTTCCAAGTCTTGTAAAAAGGTTTACATTATACTGGCCACGAATTGTTAACGCACCCTACAGGCTCCCGTAGTTTTTGGCGTTTGGCTAAGGCCGTGCAACACAACTTTTGTCAGCCCTCGCTGCCACCTCTGCGGTGTCCAGATGGGTCATTAGCTCAAGAGCCGCAAGAGAAAGCCGATTTGTTGACAATGCTCTTTGCGGCTAGCTCCCGAATCAGTGATTGCAATGCACTGCCACCCACACTACCTCATTGTGGCACTACGATGCCTGACATTCAAATCAGGCAGCGTGATGTTCGTGCGGAGTTGCAATAACTCGACGTACGGAAAGCTAGTGGACCCGATGGCATCCCAGCAGTTGTTCTAAAACATTGTGCAGCGGAGTTGTCTCCCGTGCTTACGCGCCTGTACCAACTCTCTTACTCTTTGGGGCGTGTGCCGGAGGCTTGGAGAGACGCCAATGTGCAACCGGTGCCCAAATAAGGGGACCGCTCCGACCCGGCCAACTATCGGCCGACAGCTGTCACCTCAGTGTAGAAGATTACTCTCTGATTCACGATCGTCAATACCGATTTAGGCCGAATCGATCGACGGGTGGCCTTCTAGCGTACGTGACACACATCTGGGGTGAAGCTATAGACAAGCGGGGAGAGTCTATGGCTATTAGCCAAGGCTTTTGACTGGGTCTGGCACAAAAGCCTTCTCTCCAAACTTCCTGCATACGGCCTGCTCAGGTCTGCGCCTGGGTAGCTGACTTCCTGCATGAGCGTAGAATTCGCGTCCTTACGGACGGATGTTGTTCGCAATTAATGTCAGTGAATGCCGGTGTTCCTCAGGGCTCCGTTCTATCCCCCACACTGTTTCTGCTGCATATCAATGATTTGATTCCAGTTGCGAATATTCATTGCTATGCAGACGATAGTAGAGTGTATGCGAGATACTTTGGACACGCGTCGGCTGGACAGATAGAAGCCATGGAGAAACCGGAGAATCTTGTCGTTGAACTCAATCAGGCTTTGGACCACATTTCCGATACCGGTACCCCATACCAGGAACTTGGTTGAGTTCAATGCCAAGAAAACTCAGGCTTGCGCTTTCACGGCAAAAACATCGCCATTCCTTCCCCTTCCCTCTCTTCAGGGCACAATACTGGCGCTACAGAGCAATATTACCATGCTCGGTATGGAAGTTCGCTCAGACCTGAATCCAAAGGACTAAATCGAAACCTTGATCAAAACAGCTTCACGCAAACTCGGAGTCCTGAACAAGGTGCGGCGTCTTTTCACGCCCGATCAACTGTGCTTGTTGTACAAAACGCAAGTGCGATCCTGCGTAGAATATTGCTCGCACCTTTGGGATGGCCCCGCTAAGTACTTACTCGATGCCTTGGATAGGTTGCAGCGGCGCGCTGTCCGCATCATTGGCGATGAAGAGGTAACTAAGAAACTCGAGTCTCTACAATTACGCCGTGATGTGGCATCATGTAGCGCATTCTACCGACTATACCACGGCGAGTGTTCTGATTCTCGCTTATCCCTCCCTCACCTTTTCTTCAGAGAACCACGCGCGCTGGCTTACGTTGCCACCGACTTACTGTGGCCACTATTCCTACACGAACAAAGAAATTTGGTGACTCATTTCTTTGTCGTACTATTCGTAAGTGGAATTCTTTACCCACGCACGTATTCCCATAATCTGGGGTCCTTTAAGAGAGGTGTGAAGAAGCATTTTTGCAGGCCGGCAGACGGGGGACGACTTCGGGCA